GAGGAGAGAGGCAAGCTGTTATCAAATCCTTGCCCGGCGGTTTTGGTCAGGGATCAGCTCACCATCCGGACCGTCCTTTGCTCTCGTTCACGTATACATCAATATTGCGCTCGAATTGCTCCAAGTACGTACATACAGGATAAAGGTGCTGTATTAAGTGTGCCTCTTTCTCAAAAAATGTTCATACACCAAGGCGCGTCATAGTCGCGTGAACCGCCGTGGAGTCGGCGGGAGTCCTATATAAACCCAACAGTCTGGCCATGGGCCAAGCGGATCTGCAAACCTTGCCCTTGTTCTTGCCTGATCTTTTGAACTGCAACGATGGTACACCCGCCCGAACGTAAGCAACCCACTAAACAGCATGGAAAAACCTGTGAGCAAAGCCCCGGCCTGTAAGGCTTACAAAAGCCGAACCAATTACTCCTTAGCCTCGACCACCACAACGCGCCCGCACCCCTCGCTTCCTCAGTTAGCTTCAATCTTGTAAACATCCAACCGAGGCATCCTAACTGACAATCTTGTAAAGAGAACTGATCGCCGAAATGCAACCACAACCTCTGCGGTTCACCGAAAGCCCAAATGCTTGGTCCAAGTCGATCAGCACAGCCGAGGGGATAGACACCCATGGCGTACGACATTACATTTCTCATCGGGTTCACGATCTGAACGCGCCGCTCATAGGTGCTGAACCGCCATTCCACACAAAACAATGCCTACGCGGTTGGTGTATGCGAAGACAAAGGCACAAGGCGGTACATGGAGGATGCCCACTCGTTCGTAGTTGACTACGCCGGTGTCCGTGGACAGGGTTTCTTCGCTATCTTTGACGGCCATGCTGGAAAGCACGCCGCAGAGTGGTGTGGAGGTCATTTCCACGAGGTATGTATGATATATGCAGCCACGCGTGGATATATTAACATCTGCCACCAACAGGTTTTCCTCGATGCGCTTCGCGCCACCCCAGAACGAAACATCCCGGACACTCTCAACGAAGCCTTTCACAATGTCGACCTCCGCTTATCCAAGATGTCCGAAGAATCGGAAGGCAAGATCCATTCTGGCTGCACGGCAGTCGCAGCATTCCTTCGCATCGAAGACTCAGACGGCAAGCAATCCTTCCTAACCGCAATTCCCGATCTCGATGCGATAAACCCGCCCTCGCCTGACGAGGACTCCGAGAGCGCCACGAACAGTGGCTCCGAGAAGGCCAAGGCTAAGAAGGCTAACAACGGTGGCAGCAAGATTAAGCGGGCCCTGAAAAGTCTCAGCGGATCTGGTCTGCTTACCCCTCGCTCGATGTCCCCTACCGGCGGTGATACTGGCACCCGGTACGCGACCGGCGTCACGGTTATTGTGCCTCCCCCTGGTTCGCGCCGCGTGCTGTATAGTGCTAATGCAGGCGATGCCCGTGGTGTGCTGTGCCGCGGTGGAAAAGCCGTTCGATTGACTTACGATCACAAGGGCTCGGATAAGCAGGAAGCGAAGCGGATAACGGATGCAGGCGGGTTCGTTATGGGTGGCAGGGTGAACGGTGTGCTGGCGGTCACTCGGAGTCTGGGAGATTCGAGCATGAAGGAATTTGTGGTGGGATCGCCATACACGACCGAGACCGAGCTCTGCGAAGATGACGACCTTCTCATACTGGCTTGCGATGGGGTGAGTGCGTCTGGTGCATCGTCGGAGTCCGCTAACGAGTTGGCGCAGCTGTGGGATGTGGCTGGTGATCAGCAAGCCGTCGATCTTGTCAGCGATGTCCAAGACGCGCAGGAGGCAGCAGAGAAGTTACTCACTTATGCGCTCAACAAATCTACGACCGACAACGTCACCGTCCTCGTCGTTCGCTTCAAGAAGGCAGCAGAGCGGAATGCCTTGGCATCCCCTGTGTCATAAACGGCTCCCCTAATCTTGTGCTCATCACGAACAACCCAAATTAATGCAATCATCCCCATCCACTGTAATATCTGTTAAGTAATGCGTTTCTTTTGGGTCCCAGCTTTATCATACATATATCACCATGTCCGCTGTCCAAACATGTATCGCTAGCTGCAGTATAATGACTTCAAAATTGCCAACCTCCCTGCAACAACATGTCTGACGACAACTCTAAATTAAGCAAGGCGCCGTTCTAGCCCTTTTTGGGCGACGATCGAAGCTTGGCGTTTACGAACCCGGAACTCATATCTACATAATCGAAAATGGACTGGCACGTTGCATTTGTATCTCTTCCCGCCTCGCTACTGCCCACTGAAAGGGATGTCGAAACAAGATCAATGGGGCAGCCAGCCTCCTCAAGGCTATTCGAACGGCGCAGGTCCGAATCCGGGGTACACTCCAAACTACGCGCCCCCTCCTGTGGCGCCTTACCAGCAAGACGTGTATAACAATGACCAGAAGTCCCCCTATGAAGGAGACAGGTTCAAACACAAGAGAAGGCTGAACGATCCTATATTCTTGGTGATCTTCGTCTTGCAAGTGCGTCATGCTGTCCCGGAGACGCCCAACCCTCGTTGACTTCGTTTCGCAGCTGCTGGGGTTTGCTGGCTTATCGGGCCTCGTGTTGTCTGAATGGATCTCGGAGGGTGGTCTTGGAGGCGGCCTTGGAAGTGGCTCGAGGACCGGCACATCCGTGACCTTAAACAGGTCAGCCTCACGATCTCTCGGCGTGACATATTCGCTGAAAGTTGGTATCCCGATAGTCATACAGTGTATCTGCTTCTCTTTGTCACGGCAGCTGCCCTGGTGCTTTCGACCGTATACCTCATGCTCACGCGTATGTTCACGCGTATGATCATGCACATCACCCTGGTCCTCTCTATCTTGCTTAACATGTCAGTTCGTCTTGCTTGATATTTGCCTACAATGCCCTAAATGCCTACTTTACAGTGGTGTTTGCGTATACTACTGGATTACAAAGTATTATTGTAAGTCCCGTACTCACTTCTCAACATCGCCTGCCCTGACGTCATCGCGAAGCCGGCGCTATCATCTTCACGCTCATTGCCCTCTTCTCCATTCTTTCGTATTTTGGTTATCGTTCTCGCATCCCTTTGGCGTCCCTTCTCCTCCAGGTTATTATGGATGTATCCAAACACCACAAGAGTGTCTATGTCGTTGCATTCACGGCACTGCTTTTGCAAGCTGCATTGAGCGTGTAAGTTGCATTTCGGACTCGCTACTATCTATCTGACGCCACATCTTTAGTTGGTTTACATTCACGACCATTGCGACGTGAGTGTAAAGTACTTACTCTCTGGATTTGTCTGAATAGCTTTTTTGAACTCCCAGTTACGCCAAATTCAGCCCTGGCAATCCATGTAGGCTCCTCTATTCCTGGAATTTTCTGCATAACTCACATGTGTAAAGCTTGCGGCAACGGATCATCCTGCTCATCCGGCACAGTAGCGGGCCTCGTCTTCTTTGAAGTCTTCTCGTATCTGTGGACATCTCAAGTCATCGGCAACATTTCACTGGCAACACTTGCAGGTGGCCCGTATGGAAGTGAGTGCTTTTCGTCAGTTAAATTACCCCTAGTGCTTACGACGCACCTCTAGGCTGGTACTACTTTGGACCTCGTGAACAAGGACAGATGGTGAGCTGTTCGATCCAAGTTCTTCATGCGTTTGTTCATGGCTTTTCAGCCGAAGCACCCGACGCTTTCTGCTCTGGGTCGCGCGTCTTCACTCTCGTTGGGATCGATCGCCTTCGGCTCTCTCATCGTCACCCTACTCGAACTATTGCAGATGTTCTTGCGCGCCGTGCAGAACAACGCCGCTCAGGATGGAAACGGTGCGGTTGAAATTCGCTTTTCTCTGTATATATCACAGATGTATTTATGCATGCAACAGGTGTGGAGATGTGTCTCGCGTGTTGTGCGAACTGCCTCATAGGCCTCCTGGAAAGCGCTGTTAGATATTTTAACCGGTTTGTCAAGATTTCAATTCCAATTTTTTTTGTTTTTGGCTGACTGCCGTTGAAGTTACGCGTACATCGAAATCGCGTTGTATGGGAAACCATATATTGCGGCCGCCAAGGATACTTGGAGACTGTTCATGGACCGCGGTCAGTGAAAATGTAGCATGGTCTTTGTGGCTTATTCTGATGACTGATTTCAGGCATCGACGCTCTCGTGAATGATTCTCTCGTCAGCATGAGTAAGTGGCATTATAGCCGAAGCATTCCTGTAGAGCTGACGCTGCTTGTTTGATAGCGTTGACGTGGGGTGCGTATGTTGTTGGCATGTGCTGTTCCCTCTTTGGCTATCTCTACCTGCGCTGTAAGTGACTCTATGTACTACACACTAGGAGACCCTACTGAAAACTCAGCAGACACGCATCCATCGTATAATGCTGATGGCCAATATACCCCACCAATCCTACTCTTCTCTTTCGTCATCGGATTGCAATGCTGTAAGCACGCGATCTTTTCACCAGCTCCGAAATAACTACTCACTATCTTGCAGCGTTAACTCTCGGTTCGGCCATCGAGGCTGGAGTGTCAACTATGTTGGTGCCTATTTTCCCATTACTGAGCTGTGCTGATTTTTAAAAGATTCGTTGGACTGGGCGAAGACCCGCAGGTTTTGGCGATAAGAGCACCGGAGCTGTTCGCGGTAGGTGGACTGCCGTTTCTCTACACAAAACGTATTTCTAATTGGTATTCTGACAGATGGTTGCGGCTTCCTATCCCCAAGTCACGCTAGGCGTACCGCGAGTCTGAGATCGCATGATTAGGTGGCGGATACCGAGTATACCCAATTTCTTTAGTTTCAATCTTCAGTTTCAATTCATCTATCATCAAGTATTCCCCCATGTCAAATTGAATCGTTTTGTTTTTCCGCCTACAGAAATTACCGGTGCGATACAAGTGCGAATACTTACAGGTTGAATCAGGTTCAACCTTGTGAGCAGAACTCGCCGAAAATTTAAATGTCAAAAGGCTTGTCGCATGTAGGATTCGAACCCATGTTACCGCAGATCTGACAGAAAATAGGACAAAAAACTTGTCGCATGCAGGATTCGAGCCTGCGTTACCACGGAGCTGATGACTCATTGAAGCGTCAGACCACAACGTGGAGTACTAACCACTATACTAATGCGACTCGTACCTATGCACCAAGGTTGTCGTATATATACCCTCTCAGCATACCGGAGAAGAGGACTCTTGCTAAAATTTGGCGATGTCATCCTCCTTGACTGCTAATTATCATGGCTTTCTTCCATCCAGCTGCCGGGACGAAGCTCACTGGCAAGACTTGCATTGTCGTCTGTGCTATCCCGGACTAGATTGCAAACCAAGCTCCTGACTGTTCACCCATAGCCCGTGGTTTCAACCGCAAATGTCTCCCAGCTTGCGGTAGATCTCTTGATCGCGTCTTTGGCCCTTAAGCAGATCGGCGTGTTCGCTGGCAAGTGCTTTGTGCCTGTCGTTGGTGGGCGTGAAGAGGGGGAAGAGGGTATCACGACCCCTCTTGAATGTGTGTTCATTCCACTGGTTCTTGAGCACGAAACTGATTGTACTTGAAGTGTACGGGAAGGATGGGGTAGATATTGTTGTTTTACAACAGCGATCCCCAGTCTTGAAGGTGAGCCGCATATAACTCGGTCCTGTCTGCTCTTGGCTGAATAGTCTTTGATTAGTCTGCAAAAGACGAATACACCGAGGCATTGCTAGGATTCATCCAGACATCAGAATTTGCGTCCTGTGTGTTCCTTGGAGGTGTGGAAATGTCAAACCGAACGGATGCCCAGATGATGTATGTCACACATTATCATTTGCGATGCCAACTCTATTGACTGACCATGCAGGGCTCCGACATACTACATTCACCCACCGAATGCGCCCTCCGCCGCCTCCTCGCCACTCTCTGGCCTGAGCCAATTGCCCATCGCGGCGTATACATCACCTGTGATGCAGCACCCCGAATCAACTGCCGCAAAGAGTGAGGGTCCAGTACCTTTCATACCAGGTGGCGGGCTTACTCGCCGTTTGCTGTCATCTCTCCCGGTCGGATGGTCCATCCCCACAGTCTGCTTGCTTCAGTTTGTGGTTGAGGGTGATAATAGAGGAGACGCGCACATGCTTGCTGTTGTTACAGCGAAGGTACTACAGGCTGATCAGCTTATACAAGAGTGGAAGCAACCGTCAAGCTGGAATCATGGACTCTTTGGCGCAGTGCATGATCAAACACTGTACGGGTGAGAGGGTACGCTAAGCTGTGAATGTAAAATATCCAATGTATAATCAAGCCAAGTATCGATACATTTCTAAGAGCTACATAATCATCGCTTCCCGGCAATGCCGGCCTTGGGCTGGCCACCCTTTCCTCCCCGTTTGGCAGCTTGTGAGAGGGACATGTAGGCATAAGGATCCACTCCGCCCTTTTTGATATCACCGCCGGCTTTCTGAGAGGTAGAAGACACAATTAGGGTGGATCTTCGGGAATGCAGACATGCGGCTTACCTTGGCTTTGAACTCCTGTCCAAACTTGACTTCAGACTTGCGTTTGTTTTTCTTGCTTTTGCCCGTCTCGCCATCTGCCATCTCGACGTCTTCCTCCGCCTCGTCGTTCTCCCGTCTCCGCTTCTTTGTGTCTTTGTTGAACTTCACTCGGCCATTAGGGCCCCGAGTGAACCCATCAACCGAAGCCATGCTCTCCTTGTACGCAGTACCCGCCACATCTGTAGCAGCGCGCTTGGCACTTGCCTCGATATCGGACTCGTCGCCGGAATCAATGACCATCTTGCCCGTTTCCTCATCCGTCTTGAAACGGGCTGCATCCTGACCAGGTTTACGCCGACGATCGCTTTTCGCATCTGCTACAGGTCAGTTTCAGGCATTGGCGCGCAGACTACTGTGCCACATACTGGTGATACGAGAAGCAGCGCCTGAGAGCAGATCCATCGGCTCGTCGTCGTCGACGCGAAGCCGGGCACCGTGATCAACAACCTTGCGTTTGGGTGCCGGGGCACTGGCGGAAGGGCCCTCGTCATCGGAATCTAACTCGCTTTCACTGCCGTACAATACGTCTTCGAATGCCTCTCCAGCTGCAGGTTTAGCGGGTGGAGCCTATACAATTTTGTCAGCTCGTGGCACCCAATGATGATAACGCAGAAGCCGACCTCGTCTTCATCCCCTTCCTCACGAGCGTTCTTCTTGCGCTTCGCACGCTCCTTCCGCTTCTTTATGTTCACCAGCACCTTTGCAGCCTCTTCTTCGCCAGCACATTGGTAAACTTCGTTCCACCCAAATCGACGCAGCATGCGCTCGAAAATATGTCGTACTTTCGCCTTGAAGTGATTTTTGTGGTCATGCGACCAGCGGAGAAGTGCAGGTACGAGTTGTTTGAGATGAGGGCGGAGGATGTAGGGTGCGAGTGTATGAATGGCCAGCTTGATGTATCCCAGAGTTGACTTGACGATCTCGCGATTGGCTGATGTCAGGAAGACAAGGTGGGTCGTGAAAATCTCGCTTTGCATCTCGGAGGAAATGGTATCTGCCGACGAGGATAAGTATGAGACCCAAATTTCGCGCGATTTGTTCACCTTTGAACTCGAAAACCAGGCGTGATATCGCTGTTATGGTGGCGCTAATCATATGAGGCGTGGCGCCAGCCAGACCTCCCGCGACCATAGTCATGTACTCTTCCACACTGGCCACAGCTGTTTAAATCATACATTAGTCGAGTTCCCGATGCTTGCATAAATACTCGTACCTTCCCCTGGGGCCTCCTCGCTCTCTTCATCCATGCCGTCGATCATACCCCGCTTTACTATACCGCCTTCTGCCATCTTGCGCCCCATCGAGACGATAAGGTCAAACGCTGCAGAGCGCGCCTTCTCTGAAGGCTCTTTGGTACCAAGAACCGCTTCAGGTATAAGCGACGGAATGACATGCATTGCACCAGACGGCAGCATGGGTATGAGCAGCGCAAGCAGAGCAAATCGGTCCTTTTTCGCAGCAGATGACAGGCCCCCAGACAACTCATCCAGCTTCCCCAGCACCTCTTCTGGGTTCACGGCGAATTTGCCGCTCTCCACAAGCTTGGCGAGGATCTTGTAGCCGCGCTTCTGCACGCCGTTGTCCCTGCTTCCGAGGATATCTGCAGCCAGACACATTTCGAAGAGGGCGGTGGCATCTGCGGATGAGAGGTACGGTAGAAGTAAGATGAGGATATCTTGGGTCATTGCGGTGACGCTCCCCTCCTCGGAGGCTCCGTGGTGGGAAGGGGGGGCAGAAGCGGCTTTGGCTAGATTGGTCTGGAAGAGACCGATGACTTTGTGCTGGGCCTTCGTTATTTCCTTTTGAATACCATTAGCTGCATTGTCTTACACATTGAAAGATCACAACGTACCTCCTCGCCGGCTACGGACGCCCACGCGCTTATAACATCACCCACCATGCCCCTCCCGTCCCTGCCCACGCTCCCAAACACATTAAATAGCACCGCAAGCCAACTCTCCGCCTGCGTCCTCAAAAACGCCACATTCGCCTCCGCCTCCTTCGAGCTCAGCGGGCTCGTCAATTCCGGGTTCTTACTTGATTCGACCAGGACCTTCAGCGCGCGGAGCACGGCGGGGCGGAGCTCGGGCTGCGTATAGAGCAACTGGGAGAGAAGCACAGCGAACCCGGGGCCGAGTGCGGTGGTGAGATCCGGCGGGGAATGGCAGTACCCCGCGAGCCCCGCCCAGATCTGGGCAACGAGAACGCTCCAGACTTTCGCCTCCGAGGCGCGGTTGGCGGTTTCAGCGGCCTGCTGGTGCGTGAACATTCGCTCGCTGAGCGGGACGAAGTAGGCGACGAAGTGGCCGAGCGGTGATGGATGTGGCTGAGCGAGTAGGGGCAGTAGATATGCACGCGGCTCATTTCCCGCTTGGCTGTGAGCGTTATACAATCAGAAGGGGGGTGCGACTGAGGGGTTTAAACTTACCGATCAGTAGGCTCTAAGTTGAGCGGGAGCACGCTCAGAATTATTTCAGGTCCCAGCGTGCGCATGGCCACCGCCAGACACGCATCTGCCGCCTCCTTGTACTCGAAGCCCTTCTGCGTCCGCAAGTCCCCGATGCGATGGACCAGAGGAAGCAGCAACGTCTCCGCCGCCTCCGTCGATAGGCGTTTGGTCGGATCGGGTGCGTAGCGGAGGTGCGTGAGCAGCGACGAGATGACAGCCAGCAGCTCGGGCATCGACCGTGCAAACGCGAGGGCGTCAAGGGACTTAGTCACCTGCGCGATGATCACCCCCAGTGCGGTCTTTGGCTCCGCTTTCTTCGATTTAGCTTCCTCAATCGCGGCACTGACGAGTGCAGGAGGGAAGCACTGCGCGAGGAGCCCCAGTGACTCGGCTGCGGCGTTACGCGTCGCTGCGTGTGTGGACTCTAGGAATGCCCAGACGGTCTTCCAGACTTTGGGTAGGTCTCCTGCACAGGCGTCGGAATCTACGGCGCTGTAGGCAAGCATGGCGCTGCCGAGGACGCGAAGCCATGCTGGGGGAAGGGTGGCATCGGCCTTAGAGGGCGGGGAGGCGAGAACAGCGCTGAGAACGGCAGGGATTGAGGGCGTGATGGTACTCCCTTCATCTTCCAGGGGCGCAGAGAATAGGTCGGAAAGAATGGAGTAGGCGGATTGGGAGAGGTAGGGGTTGCCTAAGCGGGGAAGTGTGAGAAGGAGGTTGGTTATCGCAGGAAGCGACTGAGACTGCGTTAGATTTTTATGAGATGAAATACAGTATTAATCTCACAGTGGGAGGCAGGTTCAGCAGGACTGGTCGGAGAAATGCGAGGATGTGGATGGCCGTCTCGGACGTAGGAGACTCGGGGGACTTGGCGGAGCTCTTTGCGGGCAGAAGCCCTGAGTTCACTTCTACTAGGCAGTTCTTGATCCACTCTGCGACTCGCTCTGCGTATGGATGCCGTATCATGGGCGTAGGTGGGGTTGCGAGCGTGTCTTTGACGACATCGGCTGCTCTTTTGCGGACTTTGGGTCTGGGATCGAGACAAAGCTGGAGGATCGAAGCAAATGACTGCCTAACACCCTGCACCTCGAGCTGGGAGCGATCTAAGGCTGCCAATAGCGAGCTGTATATGCTCAGCTGGGATCTAAGCG